GTCTTTGGGGGGATTTCGAAGCGTTTGCTGCGGGTGGCCCGCCCCAAAGTCCAGTTCTTCATGCAGATGACGGTCCACAGAAACAGGGCCTGCGTCTCACAGAAACTCGACAAGGCATGCACGCAAAATGAGGCGGAAGGAGTTGTCCTTGGGATTCTTGGATGCCTTTGAGCACCAAAGATGCAAGGGGTCAATGGATGACCCTCCAAAGATGAACCTTGGAGGGTCTTTGGAGGGTCCTTTGAGCACTGTCAAAATGACCCTCCAAAGATGCAAGGCGTTGAGACTCCAGCAATTGAGACCCCGTCCATGACCCCTGGAACGAGGGGAAGCATCAACTAAGAACTCATGATGCTTGGGGATTTTCCCTATTCTAATACACAGCCCATGTGACGCCTTGGTTCCGTGACCGTCCTCTCCAGTTGGCTCTGAGGTCATTGACAAGAAGACAATGTTCTTACTTCTCAAGCAGGTCCAGAGCAACATCAATGAGGTGCCCAGACGCGCTGTACTGAAACCCAGCCCAAACCAATGGGTTTTTTTCAATGGTTTCAATCCAATGCCCAACAACAGAACTGGCTTGTGGGCATGCGTATGTGGCGTATGTTCACCTGGAAAGCTCGTATGTTCACTCTTGGTTGTTCTTCTCTGTCTCGGGTCTTCATGTTCATCACATTCCCATTTGGGTGTGTAGCTCAAATAGGGAGACCTGCCTAGAAGTTCGGACAATAGACCAAAACTAGCCCTGTGGGAGAGGGTGTCTCCCGGATTTGTCACACATCACACCGATCTTGAAGATCTTGAAGGTGTTGAAGTGTTGTATTATGTTGTTTTTCTTCATGTCTCCCTATTAAAAAACCATTTGGCGTCTCGGGCGTCTCCCGGACTTTTCACATCACCTGCGTCCAAATCAACGTCGGAGGTTTTTGTGACCTCCTCCCGACCCTTTTCGCGCGCCCGAAGGCGGAGTTCGAAGCCCGCTTTCGCCGCCTGGATCAGGACAGCAGCGGCGTCGCAGGGGAGCACAGCGACGCGTGTGGTCACAGCGGCACGGTCGTGTGGTCACAGCGGCGAGCCCCAAGCTCTTCCCGAAAGATGGCCCACATGCCATGTAACGACTCTCTTTTTCTTCTTTCAGGTACCACAGGACTGCGGTACCCCCAAAAAAGCAACAAACACATATACCTAGAACATCCTAGAACCCATTTGACCTTTGTTTTGATCAATCAGGTTCTAGGTCCAGGTATATATATATATATAAATATATTATCCACTCACTTCGGGACTAAACACCACCCCTTTGTGACCTCTGGTATATAATATCTACCCGAACCGGTGCTCTTCCCGTCCGACCTTCGCCGACCTTCGCCGGTCCTCTCGGTCCTCCGAGATCGAGTTTGATGAGTTCGTGCGATGGTTCGGAGACCTCAGAATCGACCGGGCCCAACATCGCCGGTCTCTGCCCTTTTTTTTCTTCGGGGAACATGTGGAAGAAAGAGAACATGTGGAACATCGAACAATTGCTGAATTGGAAGGGTGGAACGAGGTCGAACGTCAAAGGCGGCAACAGGTGAGATAAAAGGCGAAAACGAAGAAAGCGTCAGTCGACCTCTGTTGGCCATCTTGCCTTCTCCAAGGGTTCATGACGATGAGGCCAGGCGTCCATTGGTGCGACCCGCGCGGCTTTTGTGCGTTGGCACCCTGCCATGTTTTTCGGACTGTCTCTGTCAGGTGGAGGTCATCGGCAGCGCTGAGAAGGTCAAAAGGACCTTCGAGGACGGCGTTTGAGGATCAGCAGGTTTTGGTTGAGGGGCTTAAGAGAAACATTTTTGGGATCTCTTCTTTTTAGGCAACAAAACCCTTCAAGAGACCTGTGGAGATGTGTGAGCTGAAGTAGCCAGCTAGCTGGCGATCTTGTTCTTGCCAAGCTGTGTGCTGTGGTTTTCGCTTTGCGCAGCAGAGGGGATTTGATTCGGACGGGAACAGGCTCATAGAGCAGGACGTCGACGGAGGTGTTTCGTTCGTTTAGCTTGCACTGTGTGAGGAGTTAGCCAATGATATGGACGTGAGCATCAAGCTGATAATGTGACCATGAAAGAAGCTGATGAAACACTTGGACATCATTGATATCAGAAAGGCATAGTATTGGAAGATGTTGGAAGTTCAATAACATGTGTAGAGTAATTAACATGCTTTGTTGTTGTGATTTTTTCGTGAAATCCATCCACGCCGTCAACTCGGGCCCGCGAGTTGGGAGGTTCTGTTGAGAGGTCCTGTTTGAGTGGTGAACGAAGCAGACGCATGGCCGGTGGCTTCATCTCCTCCAGACGGAGGATGCGTGGCGAGTTCTCTCTCCCTTCGGGTCCCCCGATGTCACGAAGACATCGAAACCTGATGAAACCTGAAGAAACGGAGGAGGGGGGAGGCGATGTTCCCTGCCAGTGGGGTGGAGAGTTGTTCCGCACGAGGTATGTCTACGACTGCTTCAAGTTCGAGCTCGGAACCTCTCAGGCAGCCGGAGAAAAAGAGAGACCGCGTGGTGACTGGCAGCCACTGGTGTAAACCGTGTGGGACGACGATACCCTTCCTTTTGGGTGGGACGGCCTCTGTGGCTTGGATATGTACCGCCCGAAATGAAGAGGACGGAGTACTCGGGAAGTGAAGCAGCTAAGCTACCCTTGTTCTGGGGGGTCCAGGTCTGGTGGAACCCGCATATCCATTTTAGAAATGAAACAACCTATTAGCACATCAGGCAACGGACCCAGCGGAAAGGCTGCAAAAGAGACCGGCTGCGTGCCCCATGAATTTTCCTCGGCGTGCCTTCAGGCTACTTAGCCGCTATCCCAATTAAAAAGGGGCCCAGGGGAGAATCCGCAGCCTAGACTAGACACGTGTTTCACGTGTTGTTCTTGACATATTTTGAGGATTTCAATTGGGGAACAAAGACCTGGTCCGGTGCTTCCGGGCGTGCAGGTCGATGAGTATCCAAAGACCTGTGCTGTGCTCAATCGAGACCAAGCTTGCAATCTGGCCAGGTTCTCGGCAGAATTTCTTCTTTTTGCAGGCAGTAGTATGGAGAATCAGAATAATCAGACACAATCCGCCAAGACATTCTTTTTCCGTGTTTTTGGACCAAGGCGCAGATCTTGGTTACGAAGCTGGCAAAGAAGAAGTTTGATAAGTATTGGGAGATGGTCGACGTGGACAAGAAGGAACGGCTGGTTTTTGGTTCTGGTGTTTTGGAACGGCGCTGCTTTGGAAGAGACCGTTCTTTTGGTTCATGTCTACATGGTGACCGTCCCGTCCCGCCGTGGGTCGTCTCCCCAGGGGGTGGTCACCTTCGACGACTTTTGCGAACTGCTCGACTTTGAGGATATGGCAGAAGACGTTCTGACGAAGTGCTCTCCTGACGGTTTTCGTCGGCGTCAGACACCTTGATAGGGCCCGGTGGGACGCTACTATCTAGGGGCTCCTGGCCTTACTACTAGGAGCAATGTTCGCTACGAACGGAGCAGGGCATCGCTACTTGGGTGCACCAGCGGAGCCGGGAACCTACACGCGGTTCGGCGCGGGGAAGGTGGGTTCCCCGGCATGGTGTGGGGGGCCCAAGTTTTGGACCGAGGTGAGGTGTACTGTACCAGTGTTTTCAACGTCCATCAATTGGGTCCCCAATGTTTCGAGACTCGGGAGCTGAGACTAGCCGGAGACATGGAACGCAAGGAACCCGCAAATCGAATGCAGGCACTCACGATAAAACTAGAATGAATAATCCATATATACATTATATATACTTTATATATACACATTATATATACATTATACACATATATATATATACACATCATATATATATATAATAGACACACTATATATATAAATATAAATATATATATATATAATATTAAACAGACATATACGCAATTAATATAGAGGCCAGATCTGAACACTCACCTTTGTAGCTGAGCTCAGTCTCCAATGTGCGAGCCCGGCGGCTTTTTGGATGTGGAGGCGGCACTGATTTCCAGCCGGCTGAGTTTCTCCAGGTGTTTCCCATGGCCACCAGGTACAACTCAGACGATTGAGATCCTTTTCGTTGGAGCTGAGCTTGCGCTGAAGCCTCAGAGTCTCTGTGAAGCGGTCGCAGTGGCCGTGTTGGAACGCCTGTGCTGAGGTGTTCGCCCGAAGAAATCTCGTAGGAACTCGAACCGGTGCTGGGTGGAGTTTCGTAGAACTGGACTTTCAAAATCATGCAGAGATTGAACATGGACCGCTGCACAGACCGCTCCAGATGGTTCCATGTCGTTGGAGGGTATTGATCCTATTTTCTATCTGCACAGACCGTTTTGGGATGTTTCCCTCCGTTCCCAGCATCGCGTTTCACAACGGTCCGGCGCTTCCGCTTCTAAAAGAAGTGGGTCTTGAGCAACATCGGCTCGGCCAAAGGCTAAGCCGGCTCGTCGCGTTCGAAAAGGAAAGCGAGAAGTCGCGACGCGCCGGGGGTGCTGGAGCACCCCAAAGCCATGATGGAAGATCCTATCATGATGGGTACAAAGTCTACTCAATGCATGTGGTGTTCTCTTCTCTGTCTGCGTTGGTGACGTGACCGCAGCATCCATGAAGTCACTTGTGAATACTCATGGCATGACTCGTCATGACATCCAGCTTATGATACAATAACGCTCACAACAAAAGTATGTGCAAAGTAGGCCTCACTTTGGAAGAGGTTATTTTGCAGTGCTTGGGCAGGTGCACATCGCCGTGCCATGCATTTCTTGCTCGAAAGAATAGCAGGCTCTTGTTTTTTTCTTTGCAATAACAGACCAATGCATTGCCCCGAAACCAAACACCTTCGATGTGTTTGGGGTTTCGACAAGAACATTTTTGCTTTGCTCATGTTGGAGGCAGAGCCTCTCCATGCCTCTCCTGACATGGCCCATCAACCATCATCAACCCCATGTGAAATCGACTTGTCACACTCTCTTATCATCGACTGATCAGCTATGATGACCTTGCAGCTGGCCTTTGCCCATGCCGGTCAAGGAGAGCTGAGACATTGGATATTGAGTAAAGACACCTTTCTGGAGACATGGCGCGCGCAGCATCTCAGATGTCTGAAAACGTGTGCAGACCGAAGTTCTGTCACCACTGGCACCACATGTCTGGCAATCTTTTTTGTCCATGTCTGGCAATCTTTTTGATCCATGATTCAGTTTTTTTGATTCCCAAGAACGTACGGTCCATGTACATTAGACTCCCTGAAAATCCCTCAAATGATCAGGGAAGTCAGTCACTGGCCCCGAAAGGAAGACGATTTTCCTCTACCAAGAGGGGGTTGTCCACTTCCATGATTGTTGCAGGGAGGGTCAATGCCTGTTGCAACCGGCACCACACCTTGCTCCGTCGCCTCGCCGCGCGGCGCTCCGCCAGTTCCGCGTCCTCCGCCGGCGCTGAGCCAAAGGGATCGGCCGCGTCGGCCACGGCGATCGAAGTCGGGTCGGAAGGCTCAGATGGCAGGAAGCATGGGGTGAAACAGATACGGATGGCGAAGGATGGGAAAGGGTAAACAAGTCATGAGGTTTGTTAAAGTGATGCATAGTCTTCTGACTGAACCGGTTTCTTTTAAATGATGTGGGAGACATGTGACCGTGCTTTTCTGGTCTTTTCCGAGGTTGCTCGGGCGCTGTTGCAAGCCTCACAGGCAGCGGCTGTGATGGTGGATTTCGACCAGCGTTTTGCCTGCCGTTATTGGTCTTTGGACGATTCCTGGCCAAAGTCGCCAAAGTCCGTGGGGGGCGAATCTGAAGACGCTCCAAAAACTGGGTGAAACCTCTCTGGTCTTCCAGTTCCCTCCCTGGCGACGATCCGGGGGCTTCGAAAGCGCCAGCCTGGTGGACCCCCACCCCCCCGAAACGAACAACCCAAAAGGAGCCGATCAGGGATGTCCATCGGTCCAGTGCCAGCACTGTCCATGTATGGAAAACTTGGACCACGGGGGTGTGTTTTCGGGTCTACGAAGTAGTTTCTTCCAGTCCGGCGGAACGGCGGAAGAATGCGCAGGTGGAGCTTTGCTTTGCTCCCGGGAGCGAGTGAAGCGCCAACAGGACCGGGATCGAGGAGTCTTTGGGTGAACAGATGTCAGTGGGGTCCCCGTGTGGAACTCAGGTGGGGCCACGGGGTGGAGTTCCATCACTTGAGCACTGCATGTGGGTTTTCCATTGGAATGGATGGAATCCGCAGGCTGATCGGGACAGTTGGAGACTCAGATGTCGCGCTCAGTGTGCCGAAAGCCGAGTTTATAGAGCTGCATCTTCAAGCAGATGTCAAAGCGTTGGAGTTGGACATCCCGATTCAACAAGATCTCCGAAGACAACACTCTCAAGAACAACTCCCTTTCTTGTTGAATGAAAGAAGAGTGGTTCTTGAGAGTGGTTCTTCTTGTGACATACCAAGAAAGATCATCCGTCTCTCAAGAACCACTCCTTTTTCTTGGTATGATGCGTGGGACTCTCGGCCTCTGCAGCACCGTGCATAGGGTGAGTCCCATCCCAAGAGGGTCAAAAGGTCTTGGTTCCTTAAAAAAGAACGTGTTCAAGGAAAGTTCATTGTTTTATTCTTTTTGAAATGCCAGGGTTGCTTTTGTAGCATAAAGATATCAAGTCCCATCCTGGTTCACATCCTGCAAACATCCTATAAATATAATATACATGTTATTATACGTATACAGTGAAACGTATTGGTGCTTTCCTACCCCTTCGGGCCCTTCGGGTTGCTTCACCCATCCGCTCCCCCTGCTCTGAGGTTCCGAGGCCGAGGCCGCCGAACGGCTGGAGCTCATCCGTGCGGCCATCCGCCGCGGCGAGGTGGCGGGGGACAAGAAGCGCCATCCTACCTGGTCCCAACCGATACACCCCTTGTCATAGATATATATATATACATATCATCTCCCTCTCCATATATATATATATATACATATTATATATATATATAGATATACACATCATTGACATCATATATATATATATATACTTTGATCTATATAGTTATAGTGGTCACATGTCTTGAAGAGCTTCCAAAGATCCCTAACATGCCAGGAAAAAGCAGCAAAGGGTGAGGAGAACGGCCGGAAACTGCTTGGTTTTTCGGGTTCTCCTCCATTTGGAAGTTTTTGCTGAAAGGCAAACACGATCTTTTTGGGTTGGTGTTGGATCGCATGTTTGGATAGCTGCTTTTCCATGATTATGAACCTGGTGGCGAAATTTCGGAAGTTCGCCAAATTGTTGCTTTGGCAGACCTTCATATCATGTACAAGGAAAGCATGCCTGGTGGGGAACTGCCAACTGTGCCACATGTGCTTTTCTCATGATCGACATGGGTATCTCTGGGTCTTGAAGCAACCCCATCTATTTGGCAGGCGGGTCATCTACCTTCCAGCTAGCCACAGCCGGTCACGTCACCCCACATGGGACACGGACCGTCCGTCGCAGGATGGGGCAACAGAGCCGCGGCGGATGACACCTGAGGACAGGAAGGTTTGAGTCCGGTCACCTCCCCACCTTTGGGGCTATTCTTGGCTCATGGGAAGACGAGGTGGGAAGAGGGCGGAGATGTTCCGGTCGCGTGTCGCGGTTTTTTCGTGGCTCTGAACATCTCCGGTCGGATGAGTGATGTGAGCGTTCTCAAGGTGCCGGCACCCTGGAGTTTTGGACACCCTTGCACAATGTGTACATGTATGGATTTCATGGGACAACCCATATGCCATATGTTTATACCTGGCAGTGTTGCATTGGGTCCATTTTTGTATGTCTATGTTTCTTCCACTACAGGGTGCCTAATTGACATCAAACACGCAGGAATGGCGTGTCAGACCTTGCAAAACGTTGTCCTTTGTCCCTTGTGCCTGTTTTTTCCACGGAGATTTGCCACAGTTCCTTCGAAAGCTTCCAGCTCCGCCGTCTACGTCCCGAGACGGGACCCGGGAGACCGGAACAGCGAAGACGGCCAAACCAAACGCATCCGGGTCACGGTGCGACCCATCAAGCTGCTGCACATGAGACCCACATCAACATTTTTCTCATGTTGGCGAACCGACGAGACTCAACTTCATCAACTGCTATGTTCGGACTTCAACATGTTCGGACGATGAACGCAAGTATTAAGACCAGTTCGTGGTCCCATCCCCGCCCTCCAAAAATGGTCAGATTGGCTGGGCTCTTTCCATGATGCTGGGCTTGCACCATCCCAAGTGTCGATGCAAGATTGCACATCTGGCCGATGAGTCCGAGGGTTCCCAGTCAATCTTTTGGTAGTTTTGCTTGTGATTGTCAAGCCAGACCCAGTTGGCCAGGAGGAGGAAGCCCTCCAGAAGATGTTTATCCAGCCAGAGGAGGTGATGTTGGAACCTGAGAACAAGCACAATGAGCCAGGTGAGATCTGCTAGTGCCGTCCTCCATCAACCCGAACACGGTATATTGTCCCCATGCGAACGGGAATGAATATGTTGGTCCAGCCAGACTCCGCCAAACGAGAAGCTACTAGTAGCAAAGGGCATTACTAGTAGTAGCTCCTCTCTCCTAGTAACACGGGCATTACTACTAGTAGCTAGAAGCTACTAATAGCTATTTGCTACTAGTAGTAATGCCCTTGTTACTACTAGCGATGCACTTGCTAGTAGCTACGCGTTTTCCTTCTCTTGGGAAGTCGGAGCACACTGACCGAGGGCTGCAGGCGAGTCTGAGAGCGAGGCCGTGAAGGCCGAGCCGGAGGAGCCGGAGGAGCCGGTGGAAGGTCACAGCAGCCTTATGGGTCGGGCGTTGGTGGTGCAAAAAGGTGTCGAAGAGGGAGACCTGATTTGGCTCAAAATGGAAAAAGGGCATGCTGAAGACACAAACCGGTCTTTTCCTTCGGATTGGGTATCCCCAAGGCGCTCCTTTGAAAACTGCGTGAATATACAAAATGTGTCAATATATATATATATATAGTTGCCTAAAACGTCTTCAGGGGCCTGTGGGCCATGACGCGATCGGGCTTTATTGAATCAGTTTTTGCACGATTTTTTTCTCTTGCACGCCGGCGTCGTGGCATCAAGGCCCAGGTAGGCAGGTATCCTTTACCCGGACAGATGAAATAGAAGCAGGAGAAACGAAATAGATGTTTTTGTTTTGTGCAACTTGAATCTCAACCACTTGCACACATTCATGAAAAGGATGTCAACATGTGTTCAGTTTCTGCGACGGCAATGGATCACGATATGTGCATGGAAGGCGTCGCGTGCGTCTTGGTTCTACGCATAGCTGGAGTTCCGGCTCCTCAGGGGCTGGACCGTTGGTGGACTGCATCGATCAAAGACTTGGACGCAGCGCACCACGTGTTGTGTGGCCGATCAGAATGCCCGTTGATCCGATTCGTTCAGGGCGCCACTCTATTTGAAGAACACGCTGGCCGCAGGACGTCGTTGCCGTGGTCGCTCTTGCCGGCTCACATGGCGACTTTGCGGTCGTTGGTTCAGGGCGTGTCGAGGTTGTCCAACGATGATGGATCTGTAGCAGCCGCTTTGGTGACGCTGCGTCGGCGCATGGATGCGGGAACTCCGTTTCTGCAACTTGGCGTTACGAGCAGTTGTTTAAGGTAGCAGATGCTACGCGATGGATGGGGTGGGGTGGGGGTGGGGTGGGGTGCTATTGACATGTGCTCTTACATGGAGACTTTAATGGCGACAAAAGTCGTATGTGCAAGCCTGAACACCACACTTTGTTTCATTTAATCTGAGGAAACTAGTCTCTCACAGTCCTTCTAGGCCATCTACTTCAGCCCCTGCAACGCCTCCGCAACGACGGCCAACACTGGCCACTTGATGTCTTAAGTTCTCTTTTCCCAAACTTTTTTCATTCTCCCCTGTAGTGTGGACGTTGCACGCTATCCGCATGTGGGGCCGGCGCGCTATGAATCGTGCTGAGGTGATGGACTCCCCTGAATTGGCAGCCTATGGGACAGTAGATTTGATTTCTCCCAAGCGAAAATCTGAAGACGATGGCATTACATCGAACGAAGCACTGATGTCCCGCATTGATATGTCGGAGAGCATCTCCACCAAAGACTGGGCACACTATATTGCTATGCAGGATGAAGACGATCCCTTGGAGCCTTTGGATGCTGATGACTCACCTCCCAGTCACCGCTTCAAAAAAGCTCGATTGATGCAAAGCTTCGCCTTCGGTTTGTATGCTGCTCCATCGGCCTCTGGGGATCCAGAAGTTGCTGATGGTCGTGGAATTGCTATGAAGGACTTTTGCAGTGTTCAAGGGTTGGCATTTGCTTTTGTTCCACGTCTCGTTGGAAGAAGAATAGCCTAAGAACATGCTTGCAACGATGACACGGAAACCACATTCAGGAACCATTGTCTCCTTGCTCTTGGGAAGATCAACATGACTACGACTACGATCAACCTTTGACTCCTTTGAGTCGTGATCTTCTACGCGGACAAATGCAGCGCAAACGAGAATTGGAAGATTCCTCATTGCAGATTTCAGCTTTTTATTCTTTTTTGGTTGCAGACCTTGCCATGCTAACTTTTCCAAAAGAAGAAGGGCCTCATTCTGCGCACGGGTTTTTTTGAACTTAATCAACTGCAGGAAATGGAGTCCGAAGCGGACCTGTTCCAAGATGATCCTTGTGTGCAGCCAAACCTGCTTGAGCCTGCTGGGTCTGATGCATCTCGTCCAGCAGTCATGCAGCGTGTCATGGAGCAAAGGACCTTGAATCGTACACGGAAAGGAAAATACGGACATTGCCAGAGACATGACAGGCCATATCGGCTCTACGTGGCAAAGACTGGGCAATGGGCTGGAAGGGCAGTGGCCCGCTGTCCAGACTTTTGCAGACTTTTGGGACTTTGATGCTGCGAACCGTCCAGGGTGCTGGAGTTGCTCCTTGTACCAGGGGTCACACGAAGCCTTGCCGAAGGCAATTCGGCAGCAGATCGTCAAGTTTAAGGAAGACCTCAGGTTCAGTCTTTTTCATGGTCCGCAAACGCGACCATAGGATAAAGCATGGATGAAAATGCGATCAGATTGTGTGAAGTGGCAGGCGATGTTTTCCCTTCTGCTCCGGTGATGTAGTATATGTGGTATATATGCGTATATTTTCCCTCATATAAATACTCTCCGACACTCCCTCATACTCCTGAATAATTTATATCTTGCGGTCTCCTTATACTATACGGTTCCCTCTCCCCAGTGAGTTTTTATGAGACAAGAAGGAGCTTTGTTTTTCGGACATCTCTCCGAGATTTTTCACATGAGCGGACAGTTGGAGCAGGAATACTTGTCATGCCCTATACCATGAACACGACCACGTTGCGCACGCATGTTCCTGTTTTGCTTTCAATATATGTTTCTGTAGTCTGCCCATGGCCCGCTCCAAAAACAAGAAGAAGCAGCCGGTGTGCGGCTGCTGCGGCAAAACTGGTCACCGAATAGAGACCTGCACCTTGCCGGGAGCTGCTTTGATTTGCAAGCTCCGTGCAGCTGCCAAGAAAACGGCTGGCAAAAGATCCGGAGACAAGTTCAAAGATGACCGCAGCCATTGTCGCAGTTCTGGGTCTTACAAGAGAAAAGCTTCCAAGAAGTATGTGCCTATGAAGTCCGCAAAGGACTACAAGGATCATGCCAGACTGAAAGCTTCAGCCTTGTCGCAAGACACTATAGATGTGCCCGACTCTATCAAATGGCTCCTGAAAATGGGCTTTCTCAGTCGTTCACGCAAGTGTGCGCACTGTGGATACACCAGCCTGAAGGGTCCCTTGGTTCGCAAGAGAAAGAACATGCAAGACTGGTGTCATTGGCGGTGTAGCCGCAACAGCTGCAACCGCCGTGTAGCCCTGTACTATAGCAGCGTCTGTGCAGGATTGCAAATGCAACCGCCTGCCTTGCGGAGCTTCTTGCTTTGGTATTGTTCCAAGAGCCCCATGAAGCCAGTCTTGGCCTCTGACGCAGTGCTTCGCTTCGGAATTTCCTACAAGCAAGCTGACCACTGTCTCGCTGCACTGCGAAGACAGGAGGCTCTTGCTGGTGAAAGAGAACAAAGCAAACTGAAGTTGACCAGAGAAGTTGAAGTTGACGCTACTTCCCTGGGAAAGTTCTGGACGAAGTCCACCAACGTTCTTTTTGCTGATCAAATTCAGGACCTCTGCAAGAAACATGATGTCACACCCAAAGCTTTCCCAGTACACATTCGACTGGTCGGTGCATTGCAACGTGGCGGCCACATGGTCGTGCGCTTCTTGCAACCCAAGGTTGCTTGTATGATTTAACTCTTTTTGGCCAAGCTGCAGTCAAACGTGTTAAACAACATGTGTTCGCGTCACTAAGGTCACTTTGCCCAAAGCTGTCCCCCCTGTTGAAGCCTACAGAGAGATCGTGCGAAGCAACTTGACCAAGATGATTCAGGCAAAATCTCCCACTGCTTTGTATGCTGACGGGGCGCTCTCGTGGCAGAAAATTGCCAAAGACTTGAAGGTGCCGATAGTGCAAGTCAGCCATCAGAGAAAAGTTTTTGCTAAGCAGGTGTCGGCTCCACGCCGTGGACTTTCCACCACTGCGGGCACATAGTCTTTGGATGCAGCGTGGAAGGTTTTGAAGCAGTTTCTTCCACAACAAACACATAAAAAAACACGGACCCGGGATTGTTCCACGACTAGCGCTGTGTTGAAGTTAAGAGTGTACCAATGGCTGTGGCGCCGAAACCTGAAGGTTACCACAGATCTCACACCTGATGAGATGCTGAAGCAGCTAGCTGCTGCCTGCAAATTGCGCTGAAAGAGAAAGTGTGCGTCGTCGGATGTCGAAGTCATTAGTTTCGGACGACCCCAGTTTCACAGTTTTTTCAATTTTGATCGGAATTCCAAGGCGTTTTTGCGAACCATGCTGCTGCCGTCCACAGGGTCTGAGGGACGTTGTACCCATATAGTTATATACTGAAGGCAAAAAGGGCGGCTAATGCAAAACTGCAGACCGCTTTGTGCTTGGTTCTCCCAAACAGCACAACTGTTCCCAAATCCAGCAGCTTATCATCGTTCAATAAGATCCCGACGAGTGGATAGAACTTTGGATCAGACCAACCCACATGTTCCTCATGCCCCTCGCCCGGATTTTGTAAATCAGGACATATCGAAAAAAGGTGCGAATTCCATCGCATTCCGAACAGGGAAACCGGTGCCTCGACATGACACGTGCACAAATGCCCATTTTCCACTTAAACACCCTTTGATCCAAAAAACGGCACACTTCTACACACCCAACCCATTGACAGCCTGTGAAGCTGCGCAAAGCAGTTGCCAGAGGAGGACCTGCACGAGGTACGTCTTCGAAGCCTAGCTGCATATAATTGATCTGGGTGTGGGTCCAAAGCATCCCAATCCAACCTGACCAAGGTCGACGTCACCAGTCCAGATTGGTGGGGATGTTCGGCCGAGTCAGGGTCCGATTGGCGATTTTTCCCACACAGAGGGCACCGCGACCGCGCCGGGACCGCGCCGCGCACATCCGCGCACTCCAAGGCCGAACTCTCGAGCCGCCAGCTTGGTGAAAGGAAGATTGAGGGGTGAAGGAAGAAAAAGGAACCCAACACTGGCCTTGTCAGGTGGTGCAACCATACACTTGTGACATCTTGTGACTCGATCAGTCTGGATTTATAGATATCAAGCAGATTTGTGGCGAGATAAGGACCTTGTTGTGCGGTTCTGTTTGATTGAAGTCCGATAGAGCTCAGCTGACCAGCAAACCTGAGCTTCACACCTTCAAACAACACGTGGTGCTCGGTTCTCAGTGAAGCAACCAAGGTTCTGCCCTGATGGCAAACTTGCCTGGGAAATTCTCCAAGAAATCGTTGTCCGCTACTCAATGTCTCAGACACTTCCCTGTCTCATGTTCCTGGAGCTCTTTTGGAGGGTGAGAGCTCAGACCAGGGTGAGAGAGCCTGTCGCTTTGAGTTTTGTTAGGTTGGACGATGGGCAGTTGTGATGCTGTCAGCTCTTTTCGCCCAACGTTCTTCTGCATTCGAGGCTTCTGGTGAAAGGCCAGGAGTGGGCGCCTTTGATCTTGTGATGGAGGCACTGCAGCGAGCTCCGATGCGAACATTCAGAACTCCAGTGGATTGTTAGAAGGAGTAGAGATTGTTATTATTTTCTTTTTTTAAAATGTTCTTCTTATTATTATTAGTAGTATATAGTGTTTTATTATTTCTAATTCTATTTAACTATAATATTGTAATTATTGTTATTCTTATATCTGATATGGCAGGTATATTAACGGTTTTTGTCACACCTTTTTCGGTGCGATCTCGGTTTTCGGTGTTTGAGGCCTTTTCGCGGCGAGGCGCCTTGGATGACGCTCTGGCCGTGTTTAAGGCACCCAGAGACTGGCCTCGCTGTCGCTGAGATCGTGTGAGGACCAATTGACGTGGAGTTGGTGGTGAGGAAGGAATTGGCTGGACGAGCAGAGACGTATAGAAACATGAAGAAGCGACCCTTTGATAAAGCCGCACCCCGAAAAAGACATATTACTGAACTGTATCATGTTGGATCCAATTCCCTCAATCCGTTGAATCCCTTCGGTCGCACTGGTGCGCGCCGCGAGATTCTCCTTCTTTTGGCCAACGACCGCGTGAACGCACCGTGCCCAGGCGGTCGCAGATGCAGGGCTCACACACAGTGATGCAAGTTTGGAACTTGGAATTTTCGGTGCAACAACGGCTGCCTGAGTCAGGACGAAGAAAAGACAAATTCCATGAGACATAAGTCCGGACCCCTCCAGAGACAGTTTCAAGGAATCTATTGCACATGAAAAGCCAGTAGTCCAGAGTAAGAAGAATCCTTTTGGGAGCGCAGGCAGGGAGCCAAGCTAGCTTAGGTTTTAGACAGCCACACGGCGACCTACCCCCGAAAGAACTTGACTGGTCAAGATATTCACCCATCCATTGCTTAAACTCAAACCAGTCTAAACTAGGGTTCCTCGATGCGTGGGAGACACACCAGGTCACCAACGAAAGTCCACCAATGACCGGCCATGGGATCGCTGGCAAATCGACCTCGAAATTGAAGGCCTTTTGGAGGGGACGAAGGAGGCCAAAGTTGGCGAACGACCTTGCAGACATGAATATATATATATATATACATACACCCTAGACGCCCAAGACCACTTTTAAATTGATCTGGTTTTGTAGTGTAGACTCCTCAGTATAACAATGGTTGTTTGGTAAAGGCTATTTAAACATATGGTGCTTCGACTTCTAGGGTCTATATGAACATGTTGTTTCTTTGCTTGGGAAAAAGCACTTTGGAGCTCACCAAAAGCGATGGTTTTGAGGCTTTGATTTCTTGGCCAAGCCCGCCTCGAAGAGTGGGCATCACTCAGTGAGTGAAGCAGGACGAACGGGGGGAACGGGACGACGACCTGGGGGATTGAGGGGTAAGAAACACCCAGAAGCCCATTTGAACAAGCATGAAAAGCCCTTAAGTGTGACTACAGCTTTTGGTGGCGAACATGGACCACTCTAGATTATGAACTTGTCAAACTCTTTGGAAAAGTTCGAGGATGTTTTGCGAACATTTGACGGCCTTGCATTGGTTTGAATCCCTAAAGCAACAAACACCAAACCAGTTATGTGCATGTTTGCATTTAGGGTACCCGCGTGCCCAAGCTGTGGGAGTTTTATGTTAGAAACAATTTTGGTCATGCTCGGCTTGAAAAGATGGTGATTTGAGTAGATGACACCCGATGGCAGAGAATCAATCATTGGGAGCAGAACCCCCATGCCCATGCTCCGCTAAGCACCCCAGCCACCACGCTCTTCATTCACTTCGCTCGTCTCGCTCGTCACTCTGCGGGTCAACCCAGGTGGGGAGTATCGCTTCGTTGAGAGGCTCTACGCTGCCAAGGCCCAATTGATGTGTCCCAAAAATCAGTTTTGCTGCACTTGCCTTAGAGGCATGAACATCCAGAAACATGTTTTAGCTGACACTTCTATTTTTTTTTCGGATGCGAACCTCAAGCGATTCAGAAAAGTACCGAACATCGGTTGCGGGCATTGCCCGCATCCAGAAACACTGTTTCATCAGCTGTTCAGCTGCCCACTGGGTGTGTGTTTGGCCCCGTTTGTCCAGGCACAGAGCACGCAGCATGGACAGATCGGTCCTGACTCCCTGTCGTTGCTGCTGGATGCCAGGGGCCCTGAGGAAGTGAAGCGATGAACCTCGTTCAAGTCGGGTCCAAGGTTCTCGGAACACCTGTTTTCTCAAACATGGCGCGCGCCCTGCCCAAAGCTTCGGGGTTTGGACCCTCAGTTCGGGGTGAACGGAATTGTCACAAGCTATGGTCAACTGGACCAGGAGTTGGTTCGGGTCAATCGTACGCGTTTGGGGTGGGACACATCTGGCCCTGGGCACCTGGATGCTCCAGACGTCCCGGTCCCGGACAGGGGGGAACTCCCAGGGCCGCGCCTTCCAGGGCGGGCCACTCCGACGAACGCCCTGTCGGGAAGAGGAGGTTCCACAAAGGATTCCGGGTGTTTCGACCCGATGTGGACGACCGACTCGAAGAAAACCGCCGACGGAGGCGCAAGACAGAACGGAGGAAAGCGCCAGTCGCTTCCCACGGATGGGTGACACAGTGAAGCGAAGGATACCTACATTGTGACAGGGTCTCCCAACAACTGGGCAGAGTGGTATTTACTTCTGTCGGTTTGTGTTGGGATACTATTCTCTTACTCTTTTGAGCGTGTTCTCCTTCAGCATCCATAATCTATAACCGATGTTTTCTGTCCAATTCTTACCCCACCCAATCTCCTGCATCGGACTCCATTGGCTCTGAATGCGGCCCCACGCCCTTGAGGCCTATGCCAATGGTTTGCCTAGGCAAGCTCAGAAGGCTGGGACCCCAGGACTGGGGAGTTTGGAGGACCAGACCCACACGGCACCTCACGGCTGTGGGTCGAAGTGGGCTTTCGTAGCTGGAGGAAAGGCCGGCGAGGCGAGGCGAGGCAAGGGCGACCCAACTCTCAACAAACTACAAGCGATCGAATTGGAGCGACGACTTGTTTCGGGCCGACCTTTTTGGAGGTCTCAAGTCCGCAGCCCAAGGAGCGCCGGACGGCTGGTTTCCGCTTCTGCTGCAACCTTCAAACCTTCCAACCGTGCTTCCAATGGGTGTCTCATGGAGGCCTACAAGTAGTGTAGGGTTGTCCATTGGTGATCCCTTGGGTGCTGCTTAGCAGGCCTAGCATGAGGTTCGTGAGTTGTAATAAGTCACCATGCTTTCGCGCAACAATTTCTCCACTCAACTGTTGGAATGCCACATTTGACTGGCTTTTGGTCTGCCAAACCACTAAACAACGATCTGATTCGTCCCCCTTTCTTGACATGTCCTCTTCCTCACTTCTCAGACGAGCTCCTCCCCTTCTTCCCCTCCAGACGCCCCTGGGCTCGTCGGTTGTCTCGCCCGAGGCGCAGGGCGCCTTCCGGGGCGAAATGGCCGCGGCCGAGGCGGCCCAGACCATGGCCACCGTGCCCAGCGAGGTGGCACCAGGTGTGGTGTGGGGGAAGGCGAGGGAGGGGAGAGGAGAGCAGAGCAGAGCAGAGCAGAGCAGAGGAGAGGAGAGGAGAGGAGATTTGGAAGAAAACCGAAGATGGTTCGGGTGGACGTGTTTGGAAGCAATCCTATGATTTTGGAGACTTTTTTTGTTCGGCTAACGGCTAATGTCAGCCAAAGCAGCCACCCAGGTGTGGCGGTTTGAGATCCGCTGCGCCAGGCTCCGTGCGCCGTGCCTTGCGCCGGGCCGTCGGCTCGTCGGTCTATCGGGCGCTCATGGAGGAGTTCCTTGGGCCGAAGAGTTGGCGAACGGTTTTTCGAAGCCAATGGCCCGGCCAGGCTACTAGGTTACTAGGGCTATCGAAATGCTAAGAATGTAGGCACAGTCAGACAGGTCATGGGGTGTAGCAGATGATGGTGGATGAGTGTGCGTCAAGGCAGCTGAAGGGTTCTTTTTGTGTTCTGGGGAGCCGGGAAGCCTTTGAGTGAGAACAATGCCTGCGCGCTTTTGGACTGAGGTATGGGCTTGACCCAGATGCAGATCTGGACATGTGATGTCTGGTAGATTAAATATGTCTATTGAGTTCGATTGTTTCACCTTTAGAGGTCTCAAGCCTCAGGCTCTATTCATGATAAAAGACAGATTGAGCTCATCCCTTGGCCGGTCTCTTTTTTGTGCGAAAAGGGCGAAGGCGGTGAAGTCCACGGCGTTGGCTGGAGTTCGTATTGGGCCATGGCTCAAGGCAGCTGTTCCAGCTGGGAAGAGCGGACCGATGGCCTTAGAGGATGTGCTCAACTCTAGTTTGCTTTACATCGCCAATCTATCCAGCCGCTTTCTCAACATCTCAGCCTGACGTATCCAGGGCCAGAGATCACGTGTTAGAGATCAGCGGTTCGCCGGTGTAGCCATGACTTCGGAAGTGTCCTTAATCAGCCCCTTGGTCGATCCTGGTCGTAGTTGTTTGCACGATTCACGTCCGACAAATGGTTGGGCACGGAGGTCTGAGAAGTGAAGACGGAGGTTTGAGAAGTGAAGAGGCAAACCAGGGAGGCATCGAAGCTGCAGCCGAAAAGCGAGCGAAGAAGGACCAACGAAATGAGACGAAGAAACCTAGCAAAGGCAACCTCATGTGGCAAGCGAAGCACACGAACCCCAACAGCATCTCCCAACTCACTGGACCGCCGCGAGAACGTGGACCGCCGGTGTTCTCGCGGAGCCGAGGTCAAGTAGTTGCGATCTCCCTCACCATCGCTTTGTTTGCCTGGGAGCCACAGAGTGCCGGAGAGTGCCAGTCGAGGTAGTCGGATGATTTTGATTTTGAGACTGTGATGGAAAGGTTGCGTAGTTCTTAGCCTGTCTCTGTAGTCCACACTACCGTAGAATACTATAGATGGGGCTTCCAGTGGGCCTGGGCTACCCCAGTCATGGATGGGCTAGGCCTTGTACCTTTTTCTGGCGTTTAAGTATCCCACTCCTGGTCCTCAATTGGGCCTGAGACATGGTGAACAGAGGGAGTCTGGAAGGGGTCAGTTTTCCCACGGTGGACCAGAAGAGGGTGTTGGAACAGTTTTTCCATGGTGCCCCTGAAGAAGGCACGGAGTCTTCCTGGCTCGGTGGGACTTTCCTTGGATAACTTGTTGTTCGTTTTTTCCTGAACCAGGGTTTCTTGGATAAGAGTCTCTTCCCAAACCTTGGATAAGAGTCTCTTCCCT